CACTAAATATAAGTATAATAAATACATTAATTTATTTTTGTAAACAGGGATTAATTATATAATAATGTACCAACATCCCTACTTATTTCCAACTTAAATTTTAAAAACATCAATTATCATTTAACTTTAATAAGATAATTATAATTTCATCCTCCACTTGATATTGCTTAGAATCTAAGTTTTATTATAAATTCATAAAAATTTTTCTTCATTAACTTTTAATTACCTTATTTTTTCCATTAGTTAAATTATTTGCATAAACTACCTGAATTTAAGTAATAAAAATTATAAATCCAGAAATTTTCTTCCTAATATGCAGGTTACTTTTATTTAAGTTTCTTTGTCCTTTATTTAATTGCATCATTTATTATAACCAAGGAATTAATTTACAGAACTCTTAATCATTATAAAGCTTCTTCAAATGACAAACAATCATTTAAACCTTTGAAATCTTTAAAAGGGTTTTAACCTATTTTGTTTAAGAAAATCCCAATATTTCAACCAAGCCTTTTCTTTAGTTTAACTTCATATTCTATAAATATAATTAAGTTATTTACCTTTAAAATTATCTAATTTTTTACTTAACAAAAAAATAGTTATAGTGATTAATTACACATAATATAGAAACATTAAATTTTTATTTAGATTACATTGCTCCTATGTTTTCTGACATTTGATGTCTTTGTGCTCGCATAACTACATTAAATATTTTGTTTTCATCAAGCATTCAAAAGTAATATATTCGAATTGTCTCATAATGGTGATATCATTTTATATAATTAAATTTAAAGTAGTAATACTGTATTTTTTTAATAATATAAATTTTTGATGTTAATAATTGTTTTAATAGAAATTTTTTCGTATCATTTATTATTCAATTCCCTAAAATAATATGTATGCATTTATAATGAGGGCGTGTTCTGAATTAGCTTCACGTTTGAAGAATATTCAATTTTTATTATTATGCTAAACTGATAGTTGCTTTATCCTGCCATATCTGTTCATCCACTAATCTACTTCTTTACTTTTAAAAATTTTTTCTACTAAGACCCAAAAAGAGTTTTTCTAATTTTGGAGTATGTCTAAATTTTCATCATGTCTTCTAATCAAATATCTAGTTTGATAAATGATTATAACCAAACTCTTAAACTTCACTCAAGCCTGTAGCGTATAAAAAGCATGCCTAATTAACTGCAACCAAAGATATTTCAGAAAGAAGTAATTCCTAAGATAGTGAATTAATTCAATAGACATTTTAACCTGCATTGTTTGATTTTGATATATGGATATTATTAATTTACCAAAAAATGGATGAGTATATTATATAAAATTCTAATGTTTTAGAGCTTGGACTTAAAAGATCTAATTTCTCAACAATTTTACTTTTCATCTCTTTCGATAATTTTGTAAACTCACACGAGACCCAATCCATAAGTAAAATACTTATCAATTTATTTGAGTGCTATAAATGGATTTTGTGTAATCAGTGTCATAATAAAAAATGGCAATGTTATTAAAGACAATTTCATTAGCATATTCTTAGTTTATTAATAAATTATTGTTAAAATTAAAAGTATTAATTTGAAAAAGAAGCCTAGTGTTTAATATCTCTCTTAATTTTAATTTGAAATAGATTATAATAAATGTTAAGAGACCTAAATAAGAAAGTATAGAGAACAAGATATTCATGCTAAAATTTGAATATTATGGCTGAATACTCTCTTAGAAAAACACAGTAATTATAAAAATAAGATTAACAGTAGAAGAAACAAATTAAAATTTAATGGCTAGAAAAATTGAAAAAACTAAAAGAATATGCCTCGTTTTACAATGTTATAAATATGATGTGATGAAAAATCTGAAAATTAAAAAGAAAAAATTAGATAAAATTTATTTTGATTACAAATAAGAAATCTTCATATTTTTTCTTAATCATTTAACAATCAAAAAATTAAATTAAAGATATTGCTATCCGTCTCAAAAAGCATTCCCTTACATAATTAAATGATGCTAAGCCTGTAGAGTTCTCTTTCAGTAGTTTGCTAATTATTATTAGTCCACCCTTTAATACTCTTATATTTGTGTTGCATACTTTTGATCTTTTGAATAAGGAATTTAATTTTTCATAATTCTCTTATTCATATACTAGTCTGCTTAAGTTTTGAGTGAATGAAAACCTTGAATGACTTTGTAGTCATTTTTATAGTGATGAAATATATTAATTAAAATTTTTTCTTAAATACCCAAGATTGAATCTTTAGTTAAAAAATATATAAATAGGTA